AAGTTAAGTTTTTGAATTTATTCCCTCAATAAATATCAGTATTAAATACCAGGTACCAGAAAGTGAACTAGATACAATGGATACAACTATGAATAATCATTTTATTAAGAAATTGATCATTATCACAGTAGTTATACTACAATAATGGTGATGATGGAAAAGTAGTACAGATTTCTATGGGAAGGCAGAGGAGGCACCTAATATAACCAAGAGATCAGGAAAATCATCCTACTGTGATGTATATAATTTAATTCTACAGAAGTGACATATCAGCTGAACTGTCTTACAGCTAAATATGTAACAGAACTGAGATCCCGATCCAAGACCTCTGACCCAAATCTCTTTCTACAGCACTGTACCACTTTGCTTTTTGCATTTGCAAAATTGAGGATAATATTACTCCTTAAAGCTTTTGTAAAGATTCAATAAAACTTATGAAGCACGTTGGCCAGATGCATGGTCTTGACAGACCTTACTAGTGCCCACCAGAATCTGGTTCTTTTACCGGTCCTGCATCTTACTCTATCCTGACTAATACAATGATCCATAACACATGCTCCACAAATTTTCTCCTTTCCTTTGACAATAATTTAGCACACGAGATGACAGAAATAAGCTTTAAATTAAAAAAAATTAAAAATTAGGGCATGTATTATCCACTTGGATATAATATATTCTTATTCCAGATTCTGAGACAAACCAAAAGCAGCTTAAGATAGTTGAGAAAGTCAACGTGTCCTAAGACCAGCTGAAATGAAAAATCTATTTGCTGTCAGGAAAAAAGTCACCTCTCATTAAGGATCATTTCTTTCATTCTTCCAAACCAAATTATTTAGGGTTAAAAATAGCAAAAAGAACCTTATGAAAAAACATATAAATGCTAAAAATCCCAGCTTGAGGTTTCGGCAACTATTCTTAACATACCTTCAGAGGGTTTTGACTGTCATTACTACAAATAGAAGACTTCCAGGAAGGAATTATTCAACAAAAAGAAGTCTTTTATTTTCTCCACAAATGTGGGACATGGAGAGAAAAATGAGAGTAAATATAATTCCAAGTTTTCCGCTCAAACAAATCTAAATGCCTATGCCTAACATTCAACGTCTTGATGATATGTTCTCATTTGCTAACTAACCGCATTTCCCACTTTTTTTTTAACATAGACACCATTTTAATCAAGTCTTCTCAAAGTCCACAAATAAGCCATTTCTTTATGCCTTTATCCATTTGCCTGAAATGCCTTCTGGCTTACTTGGGGAATGGGCTCTTGGTCCGCATCCTGTAACTGTATTTTGTACTCAAAGATTCAATGCTTTTAAAAAAAAAAAATAATTGATTTGCTTTTAACATTTAAAAAACTGAGATATAATTGAAATATAACATTAGTCTCAGGAGTACAATATATGTTTATTGCAAAATGATCAGAACAATAAGTTTAGTTAATATTCATTGATATTTTATTCCTAGTAATTTTGTCTCTGGCTTCCCAAGTGGCTCAGTGTAAAAGAATCCGCCTGCCAATGCAGGAGATGTGAGTTTGATCCCTGGGTTGGGAAGATCCCCTGGAGAAGGAAATGGCAACCCACTCCAGTATTCTCGCCTGGAGAATCTCATGGACACAGGAGCCTGGTGGGGCTACAGTCCATGGGATTGCAAAAGAGTTGGACATGATTTAGCGACTAAAGAACAACATTGTCTCTAATTTGGTCTATAAGTTCTCAAGAACACAGACGCTTTTCACAGCTCACCTCTGTCTCCTCAAAGCTCTGGCACAGTACTGAGCATACCATCTGCAGTAAGCAAGTTCTTCTGGGTTGATCGCTTTGTGAGTGCTTGTGGGGATGGCTGCATAATAAAGTATGAGGAAGAAGAACAGAACATTGAAGATGTTCCAGCAGAGGAACTTGTGACTGAAGTCAAAACCAGTGTCTGGGGGTATGAGGGGGCCTTAAACATCACCCTCTGCAGTTCTTTAGAGCTACGTATTCACAATTAGTGAGCATTGGATAGTAGGCAATAGTACGACTGCCTCACAGAAAATGAAAGTGGGCGATAAAGCACTTCAGAAATTTTCCTGCTTGGGAATAGATCTGGTGGCTAGAGAAAAGAGGCCCTGAAAACAACACTGTTGACCTTTTAAACATTAGACATTGCATTCTCTGCTATCGTCTTCACTTTTGTGAGGCAGCTACATGATCAGTAGGTATGCTGCAAGTACCATGTCATTTTACCCAGACTGTCATCCAAGTTATAGAGGGAGCACACAGATGCTTTATGTAAGAACAGAGTGCCAGTTAGTTAATGATGCTGTGACACACACTGGTGTGAAGTGTACTAACACCAGTAAACACTGACAAACATTTAAGATGTTTGGGTAGATTTTTCTCAGCTGTCTAGCCGTACTGCACCACCCTGTATCCTTTTACTAAAGCACTTTTCAGATACAGTACGTTAAACTAGGTGATGAACTACATTTGACATGCCTAAAAGGAAAGATCCCATGGTCGACAGAGCCAAGGACTTCAGTAGAAGCAGAGGAAGGAGAGACTGCGGTAGCGGTTGCCTTGAGCTCAGGTGTTTCATTCATCACTTGAAGGCCAGGCACGGCTACAGACTTTGAGGAGCTACCCATGAACAAGAGAGACAGCCTCTGTAACCACAGTGCAGGTGTTCCGTTTGCTGAGCTAGACAATCGATCAATGAATTTGTGATCAAGATTCAGACAGTGATCAATGCCATAAAGAAAAGGAATCAGGGTGTTTGAACAGAGTAGTGAGGGAAGCGGTGGCGAGGAAAGACTGTCTGGGGAGGTGACGTAAGCAGAGGCCAAAATGACACACGGGAGCAGAGCTGCCCTAACGCAGGGAAAGAGTGACCCAGCAAAGGCCTTTAGGCTGCAGGGAGCTCAACACATTCGTGAGGAATGGCGGGCAGGCCATTGTGATGGGGACCTGATGAAGGACACAGGAATGAAGAGGGTGGGTCAGATGTGCAGGCCAACGGGAGGAGCTGGGCTTGTTTCACTGAGGATTGGACCCTCACTGTGGTACTGATGCTGGTAGTACCCGCACATTTTCTACCTGCTCCTAGGTTGTAGTTTCAGGTTCATGTTCTCTCATCTCTCCTGTGCTCGCTGCTGGTCTGGGACTCCCTTATCTTTCAAAGAGAAGGACTTAATGTCTTTGCTGGATCATTTAGAGAAAACATATACCTTGTGTTTTGCATTAGTCCTTCCTTACTAAGTATACTTGGTCCTCATGTGTGGTTATGTTGTAACAAATGGTGTACTAGTTATGGCACTGAAATTTGAACGTGAGAAGCTATATTTCATCTCTTATTGTGTTGGTGCCAAGGCCAACTTGTCTACGTGCTATGTTGCCTATGGCCCACAATATTTAAAATATGAAGATATTTCAATTTATTTTAAAAATCAGAAGAAAAAAGTGAACTTTTAGGTTAAGAGAATACAGCTAATATTGATATATTTATTTTCAGCCAATGCAGTTATAAAACATAACTTAATATAGTTTTATTAAAGAAAAGGCCCATGAAGGCTGTGTCTAGGGTCCTTGAAACTCATAATAAAAGCAGCATGTGTTTATGCGATAACAGACACTAAGAGGTTGTGTACTCTTCAGTACAGTTATTATTTTCACAGAAAAACATGTTATCATGTTCATTCTAGTTTAATGATTGAATAGACTCTAAACTATTTGAATGTGTGTGTTCATGCATGCATGCATGCTAAGTCACTTCAGTCGGGTCCAACTCTTTGTGACTCCATGGACCATAGCCCACCAGGCTCCTCTGTCCATGGGGTTCTCCAGGCAAGAATACTGGAGTGGGTTGCCATGCCCTCCTCTAGGCAAATTCCTGACCCAGGGATCGAACTCACATCTCTTGCATCTCCTGCATTGGCAAGCAGGTTCTTCATCACTAGCACTACCTGGGAAGCCTGTGTGTACCCTGGAAGCTATAAATAAATAGATAATTATAATATATATATCTACCACTGTTCTATGATAGAGTATGAAATATAATATATACATAGCTATAAGTATATAAATGGAAGACTTTAAAGTTTAAAGATGAAATAATGTTTAAATAATTCTTAAGTTATGAATGACAAAATCTTTGCTGTTAAAATTATTTATAATTATTTTTAGAGAAAACAATATAACCTCACATGCTGAATTTCTATGAAAGTTTTATTTTAACATTTAGTGATCTGAAAGTCAAGTTAAAGGTTCAACTTTTTAAACTTGGTTTTAATGGCTAACATATCTGAAGAAGATACTTTACAAAAAATGTTATATTCTAATGAAATGAGTACATCAAGGAAAATATTTAGGAAATCATGATACTACTCGTTTTTCAATTCCATCTACCAATTACCCAAATATTTTTTGAAATTCAGCAACTTGGCATTTTCTAGATTTTGACACCTAATCAGAAGTTGTTGCATTGTTATATTTTTAGGAATGAGTTCAAGATCCACTTAAATTTTCAGTTAGAAGACTTTAAAACAGATTAAATAATGTTAGTTTATTTTTTAAAATAAGGAACAGATATTTATAGATGTCATATTTACATCTGTTATTAAAATGCAGCAAAATCATATATTTTTAAAAATGCCTTGTCTAATTAATGAGTTGCAAAAGCAATTTGTGAATCACTCATTGTTAAGCCACCTACTTTATCTTGATGGGCTGGATGAAAACATATCTTTTTTCAAAAAATATCTATAAGGTGGCATTTTGTTGAGACCCACCTACCAGTGCAGAAAAGTCCAGCAAATGTGAAACCCTTATTTAATATATAAAATAAAAATGTATAACTCAATTTTTATTTCAACAATCATTTTAAGTACTTCAATGAAATAACTAGTGAATGTCTTTGTAAGATAAAAGTTTTTAGATATTGTCTTTCTCATTACAAACTATTTAATGGTTACAATAATGAAATAATAAATTTAAAAATTCACTTAATGGGACAAGGAAATTGCAACACATGGCAAATGCTGAAAGGGAACCCAAGAGCGATGGAGCAGCGTTGGATGTCACAGTACACCCTTGGTGCACCTTGCCCTCACTGTGTGATCCATGACCTAACACACAGCGAGTATGGAGTCAGTGTAAACATCAACATTAATGACTGGTACAACTGAATTTCTTTTCTATTTTTTAGGCACGGAATGAATATAAATAGGAGACTTGATGTTTTTGTCTTGCACGAGAGTGGATTATTTACTTTTGGAGAACAGTCTGTTAAATTCCCATTGGGTATTTCTCATCTTTAAAACTTTTTTAATTCTAGCTATCTTTTCCTAATATATTTACTATGACATCAATTCCTTTTTAAAATTTTAGCCAATCAAAGTGTTCTTTTAAAAATAACCATAATAAATAAGTATAGAGATTACTGACACTTTCTAAATAGTCTGTGCATTTATTAACATTCTTTTTGGGGTTTCTCATATCAGTTGAAATTAATCATAGAGATCAACTGAAGAAAAAACTTTTTGCAATTAAAAAGCAATTTGCCAAAGTCTCCATTCATTATTCAAAGAGAACAAATCTACATTAGCAAAAAATATTCAGGCTATGAAATATGCATACTTTTATTAAGAGTGAACAAACCCAGGGAATATAGTCAATACTTTATAATAACTATGCATAATCTATAAAAATACAGAGTCATATGTTGTACCTATGAAACTAGTATAATATTGTAAATGAAGTATACTTCAAAAGCAAAAAAAGACAACACAAACAACTTTTGATGTTGAGCAATAGCTATTTTTTCACCTTTTTTGTGTGTGTTCTATAAAATTATCACATAATCATATAATAGAAATATGCTGTGTGTTTATCAACCCCCACCAAAAATCCAAATATAGAATAGCATTTCTGTGACTTAAGCATTATTAAAGGTCAGAGAAACAAATGTTACTTATGTCAAATTGGAATTTTTAAAAAGTAAAATGACATTATCTAACTTACCAGATTGGAAACCAGAGGGCAAAGAGGGATTAGTATTTCAGAGACAAAATATAGAAAAAGAAAAGAGTACATTAATAGCTAAGATAAAGTCATTCAATTAATAGACTATTTTCAATTCAAAGTCAATTTATAACATCAGTCGCTAGTAATTCAATTCATATTTGAATCAAGTCTAAAATTTAGCTTCAAGTCATATTCCTGAATGCTTTAAGAATTTACCAGGAATTGTTTATGCATTACTGCCTATTGCTTTTGTTCAAAATAGGGTGGGGAATGCTTGGGAAAATAAGCCAGTTTCGAAGTAGCATTGTAAAAAAAAAGTTTTAAAAGTAAATGGCTGCCAAAAAAAAATTCTATTCAGCTCATCAAATTTGCCTTGGCCTAATCCATATTTACCAACGTACTTCCTCCTAGCTATTTCCATCATTTTCTATCATTAAACTAAGACAGTAGTTCTCAGTCTTGAAACTAGCAGAAATAACCCCCTGAGGGAAGTAATAACTACCTACCTCTTTGACCGCGCCTTCTGTGTCTACTTTGAGGCTTCTTCTTCCTCCTTCTGTCCCCTAAATGTTCCTGCCTGAGATTCGTTCAAGTCTTTCCTTTCTGCTCTTCAGACTCTTGCCTCTGATAATCTCATTTAGCCTATGATTTCAATGTTGCCTTCCTACAGAAGAATCCCAAATAGATGAGTTTAGTAGAAATTTCTCAAGCTACAGTCTCACATCCCAACCTCCTACCGGCCTTCTTTGCTATGCTCTGTGATCAGCTGCATCCAACTCTTTGTGACCCCGTGGACGGTAGCCCGCTAGACTCCTCTGTCTATGTGATTTTCCAGGCAAGAACACTGGAGTGGGTTGCCATTTCCTTCTCCAGGGATCTTCCTGGGCCTGGTATCGAACCCCCGTCTCCTGCATTGGCAGGCAGATTCTATACCACTGAGCTACCTGGGAAGCACTAGTCTTCTACATTTGGATAAAATAATTCCTCTTTTCTGTCAGTACTTCATTCTCCTATCTATGTTGCCTTGAGGCTCAGAGCTCTTTGAATTATATGCTTCCTTCCTTACTGTTCCACCTTTCCTATCATTACTTACACTACTTTCAGTAACATCTTAACTAGTCTCCTTGCTTCCAACTGAGGAACATGTCAACTTGAATCATCATTCTAAAGCATGGCTTTACCCATGTTTCATATTGTCTTTAAAAATCTTCATTTGCTTCTGATTTATTTAGTTGGCCGCTCAGTCTTGTTCAACTCTTTGCGACCCCATGGGCTGTAGCCCACCAGGCTCCTCTATGCATGGGATTCTCCAGGCAAGAATATAGGAGTATGCTGCCATTCCTTCTCCAGGGATCTTCCCAACCAGGGATCAAACCTGGGTCCCCTGCAATGGCAAGCAGCTCCTGCATTTCAGGCAGATTCTTTACTGCCTGAACCACCAGGGAAGCCCAATAAACATTTACTGCTATCTCTTTTAGTCTTTTTGTTGTATTCAATTGTGTCCAACTCTGTGTGACCCCATGGACTGTAGGTTGCCAGGCTCCTCTGTCCATGGGATTTCCCAGGCAAGAAAATTAGTGTTGTGTTAGCTGCTTAGCTGTGTCCGACTCTTTGTGAACCCATGGACTGTAGCCCATCAGGCTCCTCTGTCCATGGGATTCTCCAGGCAAGAATACTGGAGTGAGTTGCCATCTCCTTCTCCAAGGGATCTTCCTGACCAAGAATCAAACCCAGGTCTCCTGCATTGTAGACAGACTCTTTACCAACAGAGCTATCAGGGAAGTCTAAGGATATTTATAAAGAATGTTCAAATTCCTCAGTCTGCTATTCAAGAATTTAATTATCNCCTGCATTGTAGACAGATTCTTTACCAACAGAGCTATCAGGGAAGTCTAAGGATATTTATAAAGAATGTTCAAATTCCTCAGTCTGCTATTCAAGAATTTAATTATCTGTCATACTTTTCTTGATTCATTGTCTATCATCCTATAACTTATTTCTTATACACTGAATCTGAATTTTATTACTTAATATTTCCTCAATGAAACATGCAGTATCTTATCACTTCACCTTGGCTGATATCATGTTGCTGATATTATGAACACCTAGTTCAAATTAAACCTTTTCCAAGATGCCTTACCTGATAACTCTAGCTAGCTGAGATCTCCCATTGATTTATTCCTAAAGACAATGTGATGTAATGGAAAGGGTATGGGCTTTGGAATTCTTTACATCTAGGTTCCAAAGTCATTCTGTTAGTTTTGTGACAATAGGAAAGTCATTTAACTAAGTCTTGGTTTTTAAATATATAAAATGAGAATAATACAGCTTACCAAGAAGTTCAAAAGAAATCTTGTGTTGTATAATTGATGTCACCAGGAGGGAGTCCAATTCAGTAGCTAGAAGCTTCTCAATAAACCTGAGATGGTAAAATTTTTATTCATTAACATATATCAAACACCAACGAGGACCAGGCACTTTAAATTACAGGGTGATTAGCAAGATAAACATAGTCCCTGCTTTCATGGAGCCAACAATCTGAATTCACCTCATCCCAGAGTACATCCTTTACTTTAAAGACTCAGAAATGACCTGGGGAATTGATTAGGTTAATGCATATTATACTTGCTAACAGCACCCTTAACACAAATGTATAAAACCAGAATAAACAATTTCTTATTTATGCTGAAAGTCTTAACTGTCAAACACACTGACCCCTCATTGTGATCTAACCAGGTAGCTGTATGGAATTAGAAGGAGAAGGGGAAAGGATTCAGATATTTGACAAACTTAGGTTCTCACAGCCAGGTGGGCCAATCTCTAAAACAGGAAGAGAGGCTTCCTTTCTTAATACAGGTGTGTATTAGGAGACGACACCTGGAAGGAATTCCCTGGTGGTCTAGTGGTTAGGACTCTGCACATCCACTGCACAGGGGCAAGACTTTGGTCCCTGATCAGGGAACTAAGATCCCATCCCAAGCAGCCAAAAAAACAGAAAAAAAAAACCACAACAACAAAACCCCACAAGAGATGATACCTCAAATCCAAGAGATGCTACAGAATGATACACCTCTCCTATCTTCCTCATTTTCTAAAGAATTTACAGAAGAGGTTCACGAATATTCTTATGGATCTTAAAGTTATGGATGGAAATGCTTGCCACAGATCTGTGCAATTAAGTATTATCTTATAGTGAGGCTGGAGGCTATGTTGAGAGAAGTGGATAGAACTCTCAACCAAATCCTGAGCAGAACTTATGAATCCTCACAAGGCAAAGAGAAATCACTCAATTAAAAAAGGATGAACTTAACTGAGTATCTGATATTAGGCAAAACAGCAGCTCAGAGTCAAAGATGAGATTCAAGCCCAAAGAAAATCATCATGGTAGTCCTATAAAAGTATGTGTCTGGTAATATATTACCTGGGCTTCACTGGTGGCTCAGCAGCAAAGAATCTACCTGCCAACGCAGGAGATGGGCGTTTGATCCCTGGGTCAAGAAGATCCCCTGGAGAAGGAAATGGCAACTCACTCCACTATTCTTGCCTGGAAAATCTCATGGACAGAGGAACCTCACAGGCTGCAAACCATGGGGTTGCAAAAAGTTGGACACCACTTAGCAACTAAACCACCACAATATATTATCTAAATTTCCTGAAGGCTGATACATGGCCTGGTTTGGCTTTCTATTAGAATACCATACCCAATAAATAATATGCTTTGCATCAATATTTAAGAAAGGGATAAATGATCCATCTTTATCTACACATCAGGTAAACTGCTTTTGCGAGACATCTTTGGTGACTGGAAGACGACACTGAAGTAGGCTTTAGGTGGCATGAGACTTAAGTAGTATGACGCTGACACCAGCAGGGAGGTTTAAATCTTATCCCTAACATCCTCCTATCCCTTTGATATTCAAGTGTCCATTAAAAGAGAGATTCCCCAAGACATATTGGCTGGGTGGACAGTAAACTGCCAGTCTCCTCTGTCCATAGGATTCTCTAGGCAAGAATACTGGAGTGGGTAGCCGTGTGCTTCTCCAGGGGATCTTCCTGACCCAAGGATCAAACCAGGGTCTCCTGCATTGCAGGCAGATTCTTTACTGTCTGAGTCAGCAGGGAAGCCCAATAAAATGGAAAATTAGTCAAAACAGCTTTAACAAAGAACACTTCTCTGAGCTTTGTCTATACCCACTCTGCAGGCCTTTTGACCCCTCACAACACTGTGGAGTGCACAGTAACCATAATAAACTGTTCATTATTATTTATCTACTCATCACTAGGTTCATTCCAAAAACTATATGAGGTGGCCAGAACACACACAGCAAGATAACAATAAAAAGAACAGCAAAAACCAAAATATACAGAAGGAAGTCAAAGTCAATGCTGAACATAAGGAAAGGGAAATAAGCTCCAACCATGGGTAGTATTCATATAGAGAACGCAGGCTTTTGGAATCTCTACACTTGCTATAAATGGATAAGAGTGACACTGACCTTTCTTACATAGCATTTGAACTTTACAGGTAGAGCCTGATTTTCTTGGGAAATTTTAAGTTTCTTAGAATGTGAGCAAAAAGCATCTTTAGGGAAAGAAGCCTTTCTTTAGGGTATACTGTCAGATTTCCTTAGGCCTAAGCCCACAATACTTGGCTGGTTTAAAAACTGCTACTTGAGATTTCAATTTCTTTAGAATGCTCCTTAAGTGAATTTTCATTTTTACTTTATCTTTACACAATCTCAATCTTTTTTGCCCTTTCTTTCTTCCTTCCCTCTCTCCCTTCTACCTTCCTTCCTTCAACAATCTAATCTTGATGCTCACTTAAGACAGTCATTCAAAGGCTAGTCTTTGGCTTTTCTGGTATTGTTATTTAAATAGGACATACCCCATGTGCTTATAAGTGGCTCAGATGGTAAAGAATCTGCCTGCAATGCAGGAGAGCTGGATTCAATATCTGGGTTGGGAAGATCCCCTGGAGAAGGGCATGGCAACCCACTCCAGTATTCTTGCCTGGAGAATTCCATCGACAGAGGAGCCTGGTGGGCCACAGTCCATGGGGTCACAAAGAGCTGGACGTGACTGAGCGACTAACACACACACACTAATGTGTTTATATTTTTAAAAAAATTAACAAGAAGGGCCCAGGGCTGATTCATGTTGATGTATGGCAAAAACCATCACAATATTGTAAAGTAACTATCCTCCAGTTAAAATAAATTAGTTATTAAAAAAATTAACAAGAAGGGAACCCTACCAAAAACTGGAAGTAATAAAACTTGAAATATAAAATGTTTTACACAACTTTCATAGAAAAAGTTGGTGGCAGAATCTCTGTGAGCCATCTGGAGTCCAGGAGTTCGAGAGCATGCATATTTTTGAGCTAATGAAGGCAGGCATGCACAGGGGCACTGGTAGGCACTCACTAAACATCATGCTTCTAGGACTGGAGAATAAAGTACGCACCCTGGAATATTGTAGTGGTTTTCTTTTTCACTTAAAAAATGATATCATGTAGAATGTAGTTCATCAAAGTATCAGACTGGCAGCCCTGCAGCCCCATTTTTCTTCCTGCAAAGCAACAGCAACAGACGCAGGGATATTACAAATGTGCTGAAACATTTTCAGTAATGGGACTTAATTGGGGCATTATAGGAACTTATAAGCACGTCAAAATTTTTACATAAATCAGGTTGTTGTTGCATCTGAAGGCAGTGGTAGGAGATAAATGCATAAATTCACAAGAAGTGCAGGTAGTTTGGTATGTCAATTATGGCTCCTGGAAATTTCATTTTTAATAAGGCACAAAGATTATTTAAAATGGTTATTCATGGCAGGGGCTTCCCCAGTAGCTCAGCTAGTAAAGAAAGCAATGCAAGAGACCCGAGTTGGATTCCTGGGTCAGGAAGATCCCCTGGAGAAGGGACAGGCTGCCCACTCCAGTATTCTTGGACTTCCCTGGTAGCTCAGATGGTAAAGAATTTGCCTGCAATGCAGGAGACCTGGGTTCGATCCTAGGGCTGAGAAGATCCCCTGGAGGAGAGTATGGCAACCCACTCCAGTATTCTTGTCTGGAGAATCCCTATGGATAGAAGAGCCTGGAGGGCTACAGTCGAGGGCTTGCAAAGAGTTGGACACGACTGATTCATTAAGCACAGCACACTCACGGGAGAGGGCCACGTAACAGAAGATGATGGGATCTCCAACTGATGTGCTCCTGGAAAACATCTTTCTGCACTGGCTGGTCATGGCACCACCCTTCTATCTTAGAAGAATTTAAACTGTTACTATTATTCTCCTATATTTTCTATTATTCAGGGGTAGACTTTATTTTCTAAAAGTCATGAATAAATGTATGTCTCCTAGATCACAGAGAAGATGCTTAAGCTTTTCCCATAATTATTAACTGCTTTGTTAGCACAGCTGGCTATAAGTGGGGGTGAAGGGTGGGGGTCGTCCACAATATTCCTGTTTTAAAGGAGTAAGATATAGCATAGGTTAAGATTTGATGATGAAATTTCATTTGTCAGTTCTAGAGGATGGCTGAAAGGCTGAGCAATTTTTTTTTATAGTCTTGTGAGGGTTCTGACAATAGAGAACTATTAAAGTAGAAAAAGGAATCCTGGAACCACCCCTTGATTTGGGATGGGTCACCAAAAGGATCTACTCTAGCAGTAACAGCAAATCCGAAGTAGTAAATCTTTAGAGGACATGGAGCTCAACTTTGAGTCATCACCAGATGAGATAATTCCAGAGTGCTAGTGCTTCCAGAAGCAGGGAGAAGCAATTACAACCCTTTGGGAAGGAAGGTAGTGTCATCTTAGGCCTCCACTTATTTCTAAAAGTTATTTTGCAAATCAACGTCAGGTAAACAAAAATAAATAACCAGGAGTTTAAAGAGACAAAAAGACAGGAGTCAAATATAATAAGAATAGCAAATAGACACATGATGGGTTCAAAGACTGGCATTATCAGACACATTTAAATAACATCTATTACTTTCAAGGAGATAAGCAAGAAGACTGAATTTTAACAGGTATTTAGATACTAAAAATAGGATACTTTCACATGAATTTATGTATGAATAAATGGATTTATTAATATCTTGGACTCAGCTGAAGAAAGATATGTCAGGAAAAAAATACCTAGCAGAAAGTATGAAAAAATAAAAATTTGGTAATACATGAGAAACGTCAATAGGCAAGGAGGGCACAGTGATAAGGTCTAAGATATACATAATTAGAATCCAAGAAAGGAGAGAAAGGGGAAGGAGCACTATTTGAAGAGATAATGGCTAAAAACATTTCTAAGATGATAAAAAATATTATGTAGCAGATTCAAGAGCACTTATAAACTGCAAGAAGAATAAAAAGAAATTCTCACCTAGGTGCAACACAATAAAATTGCTGCATATTAAAGGAA